GACCACCACCTTTTCTCATAAGGTGATGGTTTGGTCTTGGGGACATGCTCTTCTATGGTTCTAGTTATTGATTGGGTCAGGTGTTTGAAGAGGGCTTGGAATTCATCTATGGATTGAATGTTAGCAGGTGGGGGTCGCATTTCAAGTTCGGATGAAAGGGCTTCTCTGAATGTGTCCCATTCTACATCTCTGTAGTTTGGGCGCTGTTCAAGGTTGATGCATTCTGGCTGGAGATCTAGGGTGCTAATTATTGGAAAATGGTCAGTTTTTACAGGACATAGTTGGTATTCCATGGTGCATTTAGTAAACATATGTTCAATTTCAACAGAGCAAAATACATTATCTGGATGTGTGTGGTTTTTCGTGTTTGAGGCTTCAAGGGTGGTGATACCATGGGGTAGTGCTTGAGTGAGTGAATATTCAGCTAAGAGATTAATTAGTATGTCCACAGCATCTAAGTTCGCTGCGGTGAATAAGTGAGAGTTGCTTGTCAGTTCCCACATGGGGTGATGATGGTTAAAATCCCCCATCCAGATCATGTGGGTATGGTCTGCTCTGTTATCGCCTTGAGCATTGAGTCAAGGGGGGGGATGGTAAGCAAAACTCTTGGCTATTAAGTGTTGTTCAAGAAATTGAAGGGTTTGCAAATGGTTGCAGGCATTGTAGATATTGTATATGCACACCTTTCCAAAGTTTCCATTTAGTTCGATTGCGGTGATGTTGGGAGAGTCAAGTGGTACAATATGCCAGTTGTCTTTGGATAGTTTTTTGTTGACGAGTAGGATGGATTGTGATCATTCTGGGTTCGAGTGGTGATTGGTGGGGTATATGACATCCCAGTATCATCTAAGCTTGGAAGCATTAGCAAGACCTACTGGGTTGAGGAATGGCTCCTGGATGCATGTGAGATCGTAGGTATTGGGATTGAGGTTTTGGAGCATGTGCTCCCAGGCAGTAGAGGATTTGCATAGGTTTTGTTGCCAGATTTTGAAGTTGGTGTTAGGATGTTGTTCGTCATGGTTGTCCTGCATTAGTCAAAGTTGGAGAGAGAGGGACTTTCAGTGTTGGTATCTGGGGTTGATGGCAGGAACCAGAGAGGTGTGGTGGTGGATCCAGGAGACGAGTGGTTTGAGGGAGGGAGGTGTTCATTTGGTTTGCTCTGGCTTTGCAGTTGGGAGGTTAACCAGTTGTTCATTAGACGTGCCCAGGATCCCATTCTGACTGGGATTCAATTGGGGTTTTCATGAGGTTGGCGGCATTGGGTTTGTTTTCCCCATTGTTGGGCTGGTCGCTGTGGCTGTTGCTGTTGTTGGGGTTGTGGATGTGGTATCTTGGTCAGTAGTCAGCCATAGTTGCCATGGGTGTTGAGGTCTGTAACTGGTTGAGTCCACATCAGCTGTCTTGGGGGTTCGTTCTGTTGTTCATAGTTGTTGCTGCTGTCTAGGTTTTCCCAGGTGAGAGGGTCATCAGTTGGGAAATATCGGTATTTGGTGTCTTCAGAGTGACTCTTAAAGTTTTCCCATTTGTTGATGAAGGTGGGACATTCTTGACTCCATGAGGCATGGCCTTGACAATCACAGTTAGCGCATTGATAGTAGTTAGGATTGTCTACTTTGCATGCTGTCATGCGATGCTTTGCCCCACACGTCCCACACATGTCATGTTCCTGGGTGCATTCTGCTGCGATGTGGGATACGTCATAAGATTGACATTTGAGGCAACATGTTGGCTCCAGGAGTAGTTTTTGGCTATAGACTTTCTTGCCTTCAATTGAGGTACCGAAACAAAGGATTTGATTGGCGCTTTCTTTGGTTCTGAGGGTGATGATGACATGTGCTGTTCATTGGTCTGCTTTGCGGCGAGTGATCGGTTTGATCCATCTTGCTTTGGTGATTGATCCCTGCTTGAGTCCTCCCTTTGCTTCAATTTCTGTGTTGGAGTGTATCAAGCTAGGGTTATAGGATATTGGTACATTTTCAACCAATATGTTGAAGGATTGGTCTTTGACGGTAGTGTTGGGACTGAAGTTGATCGCGAATTTTCCTTTGTGGGCAGGGGTATTGAGCCATAGGGCGGATTCTGCTGAGTCGAGTTCATATAGGATCCCTCCATGTGGGAGCCATTGTGCTGATTGGAAGGTTGGTCCTTGGGGAATGGTGACTCCATCTTTCTCTACTAGTTCTAATGTTAGTTTGGCTTTTGCGACAAGCTCAGCTTCAGTAAGTCCTCTTAGCATGTCTATCTCACTGAATGAACATCTGTTGATGAGGATTTGCCTTGCTTGTGCTTCACTACAGGCTAAGATTTTGGTTAGTGGGGGCGGGGCATTAGTTCTGACTGCATGTGCATAAGTTCATGTCCCTTCAGGACTTGTAACTTTTGGGTGGTCTAATGATGCAGTGGTAGCATTCATCACTGCTTTTTCAATGCTTTCAGTTGAGTTGGAAATATTGCCACATAGCTCTGTTGCTGCATTTTCCAGTGCTGCTTTGTGGGCATCAGTGATTTCTGCTATTCTCACAGCTTTTTCTTCTAGTTGTGCTATGGGGCCTTGTATGAGGGATGTGATTTTTTCAATGAGGTTCACTGCATCAAGGTTTTGTTCAGCTTCAATAAGCAGGATTGCAATGGCTTGAAGGATGTCAACATGTGTTGTACCTAAGGCCACTGTGACACTGAATTCTAGCAGGGCATGGGCCATTTGTTTAATGACATTGCAGGCAACAGGTAGATTGAGGCCATGCATCAAGAGTAGTTTTCTGGCTGTCATTTGGTCTTTGATTTCGGATCTGATATCTGAACCAGCAAGGTGGTCTTCTATTTCTCTGCTTATTGATAAAAGCAGTTTATTGGCAGTAGTTTTTCAGCCTCTAGTGGTCACTGTCACTGATGCAGTCTGGTTAGTATGGTTGATTGGTGTTAGCGCCATGTTTTTGTATTTTTATCATTTTGTTGGTTTTGTTGTTGGTTTTCTTTTTATGTATTTAGAAGCTAGTAGTAAAAAGAGATGAAAGCGAAAGAGAATGAGGCGAGGGGGACGTCAAAGACGTCTTTGTCGCCGTCTGGCGCAGAGGCTTGGTTGAGTTTTTCCGGGGTCCTTGAGGGGTGCCACTTGGTACTGGTCCAAGGAGCGTTTGTCGTTTTGGATGATGCGTATCATGGCCCGAAGCTGGTAAAGCAGCTCCAGGAGTGGGCCGCATATGGCTGGTGAGTATTTTTATATTCATTTTCTATGACACTGATCGTATCCATCCAACGGCAGGTTGGAAGGCCTGAAGGTTGACTCTCGTGGCGGCTTGGAGATGAAGCGCACTCACTTGAAGGTGGTACTTGACTAGTTTTGTCGTGTTTTTCTCGTCGTCGCTCGGATACTATTACTACTGCATGTTGGCCAGCTGGGCCGTGTTCGTTTACGTTTTTGTCCGCACAATATGATCAGATTTATTTGGAACTCCCTGTGACAGTGTGAGTGTGTACTGCTGCTACTCTATGGGACTGGGAAGCACTGGGGGAAGGTAATTTACAAACATTCAGCAACTGCCAGTGTCCGAGTTGTGGACATGCAGGACATTCTGTGATGTCTGTGAGCAATTGTACAGTACTGTCCAAATCGCTTTTGGAAACCCGCTGTCTGTCACAAGGGGACCAGGTTGTAGGCCTAGCACGCTGTGTGGGCTTGTACAGCTCTGTACAGAGCGTGTGAGTTTACTGATGTTCACAATGAAAAGACCTCGAGACTCTGCAGTGCATCATGATTCATGTAACGTTGGGAATCACGGCGCTGGCTGTGGGTTGCGCCACTGAATTTTGAGTGACGTCGCGGCGCTGCCGCGCTAAGGCTAAGTCGCTGTTGAAAAAAAATTAAATGGCGCGAATATGACATGATAGTATTGGGTTACTGGAGTCATGGCCGGCGGACGTTCGCAGCGAGCGCGTTGCAGGCCCGCATCCCAACCTGCCCAGGGAGTTGAATGTTAGATAGATCCCTCAAATCTACATTGTTATAAAGTTTTAATAAAGGAAAGCTAACAACATATCGAAAGACATGGCGAAGAAAAGATCGAACCGACGAAGCTGAAGGTAATAGAAGAGTGAGGGAAGGGAAGCATGTGAGTAGCGGGAATACACAGGTTGTATCTCGTGACGATAGCATCCTTAGTCGCCACTTGTTAAGACTTTTCTGTCTTGCACTTGACGGTCGAGAAATCAAACTCGTTCTGCATATATTAATGCTGTACGGACCTAATGATCATTTCAGGAAGGGACTCGGACTGCCTGCACTGCTCATCGCAAGTCCAATACTAGAATGAGTCACCCATCCAATATATCTTGTTGTTTGGGGGTGAAGAAAATCTTGTGCGCAATGTGATCTTGAATTCGCCAGGGTATTCCAGAAAACGGAAATGAATGCTACCTGTGGAAAGACACTATAGCCAAATCTCAGAAGCACGCAGCAGTGCGGTGTAGGCCGGTGTGACAGGGTAACGCATGCATCGAAGTTGAAGGAATCAACAAGCACAAGACGTCTCGTAAATTCGGATGTGTACTGTGGCAGAATATGATTTCCGATATATGAAGGGATTCCTTCGCCGGAGGTCGAGAATAGCGCGGGCTAGTGTGAGAGCTTGATCATGATAACTGGCCGCTTGAAAGCGGTGGGATTTGGGGAATCGAAGTGAACCACGAAACAGCATTGTTTCAGGGTAGGAATTCGAACACGTGCGTCCAGGTTGCTCACCAGCCTGAGGTCCTTTAGGCTGCATGGTCGTGAAGGGAATGAGTGTGGCATAACAGAAAGCGGCAGGAAAAGATAACTCAGGACGAACTATGCTCATATAGCCTTTGTCTCAGGCTTATCTGAACCAAGTCTGAGTTTGCTAACGATGCTTGGGTGCGTTCGCCTTCCACATAGTACTAGGAAGGCTCAAGCGCTAGCGCTCATCCCCCGAATCGAGGCACAGCTCATCACGAGATGGGTCAATAACGTTAGATTATTGGTTACATCCAAGACAAGCCCAAGTTCCCAAGTTTCACTTGGTACCTATTGCTATATCTTGCGCGCGCACAAAAAATACACAGTATGACATCCGCATATCTAGCACACCATGGTTGGACATGGTGATAGCAAAAGTCAAAGTTCTCGATCTGCCACTTTGACAGTAGGCCTATGTCTTGAATATCCGTAAAAGTCGTGCTTCTGTGACGATCCGGGTGCGACAGAGTGGACACTCGCGAGATGATGCGAGTACTAGATCAGAGCAGGTACGACACATCGCTAGGTGTCTGTTGGCATGGTTAGTCAAAGGCCGTGTGTGCAAGCACAAAGCTTGGAACACTCACCCGCAGTCCACGATTGCGATATTTGCTTCCTGGTCCTGGCATATCACACATAAACCAGAACGTTCTGCAAGCGTCATCCTAGGTGGTGACGGTGGTGGAGAAGTGGAAGGCGGCGGAGGATGTTGCTGCGACTCGTCATGTGTCTCGGCATTCTCAGCAAAGTCATGCATGTGGTCGTCTTCTGGCTCGGCTAGCTCTGTCTCCATAATTGACCTTTCGGCCTCAACCCTCTCTCTCTCTTCTTGTTCTTCCCTCTCTCGCCTTTCCCTCTCTTCTTGTTCCCTCTCCTCCCTTTCCATGATATCTCTTTCCTCCGCCGCCGTTCTCTCCTCCTCCAACCAGGTACTAACGCGTGCCACGAGTTCCCCCTTCTCAAGGAGGTCAGCAGGCAGACGCACACGTGCCTCATACAATATCTGCTTCAGCGTGTGGATGGGTAATCGGGAGAGGGACGATGTGGACATCGCAAGGAGAGCAGAAAGCGGAGGCGGGGGCTGTGGCGTGGACGGCTGAGGTGGTGAGCGAGGTGCGGTTGATGGACGCGTAGGTGTGCTGGCAGTAGATGTTGGAGACGGGCGTCGACTGGAGTGGGGCGCTGATCGAGGCGGCGTTTGTGGCTGCGAGGCTGTCCTGAATCGTGGCTGTGGTTGAGGTGGAGAGGGCTGAGGCGGGGGAGGCGTAGGGGGTGTCTGGCGCTGTCTTGTGGAGTTGGAGGTATACGTTCTGTATGGTGCTGGCTCAGGGTCAAGGTCAGGGCGGGGGAAGTCGGGTGGTAGTGATGTGGATGTTTGTTGGTGAGTTGGGGGTGGAGGACGGGTGCTAAAGAGCCCACGAGGGCGCGATGAACAGTGTTTTGGGACACGATGGGTACGGTAGAAGGATTCGTTTGAGGACGGGAGGGTTCCTGTTGGTGTCTGGGAGAAGTCAGCGATACAACGATGGACCAGGGTGGAACGGAAAGCACCTTTGCAACGATGATGGCATCCACGAGGTCATTCTTATCGATAGGGCCTTTGACGGAGATATCGTATGCGTTGACATAGCGGCGAAGGGTGGAGAGCGGCAGGGACTTGAGCTGGGTTCTACTAGAAGCTGTTACTGAATACAAGACATCAGATCGGGACGTTGGTACTAGAAAGTATGGGACGCACTGTTAAGAAGCTCGATACAGAATGCACAAACGTGAACTTGGTCATAGCCAGATGCTGCACCATGGCGGGGCATGAGCGCCGGGTAGTCTGCGCAGCTAGCACAATACAAGTAGCCTGCCGCGTCGAAAGAATTAACCAATCTAGTCACTAATGTATTCGCAGGTGTAACTGACCACAATGATTACAACGAGTTGAGCGTGTAAAGATGATAATGAATTCCTTGTTACATTTCCTGCATGCATTCTGCGCACGATCTGTGGAAGGCGCTGGTGGAGGACCGCTGAGTAGAGGGAGCCCGCTAAAGTTGGACATACACGACGGTAGAAATTCGAGAGCTGAAGATGATGATGGTGAGTCACTGACAAGTTCTTGGAGCACTACGCCGTGAGACTGCTTAGGCTACTGCTTGTTCTAGTATGTTCTCGACAACAGCCTCGGTCGCGGTATCACACGGTCTCGCCTCCTATGGTGTTCATCACTGTTCACGACGCTGAGCTCAAACTAGTCATACTAGTCCGCAGCGATCTCCAAACAATACTTATTGTCGGTTCATTCATACTATTGATGATGTCCACTCCTGTCCACTTCTGCGCCTCTCTGAGGATCCGGAATGCAACACGACAACTTTTATGCATAACCAGGATTCAATTGTGATCTGACCAAACTCCAGATCCACTCCATCCAGGACCGTCATCCATAACGTCGATTCTACTACTAAGTAGTACATAGACTCTAGCTGGTTGGAGGAGTCACGTGAGGCTTGCAGAACTGATCGCTTGGAAGTTCTGATCAGATATCGGTGGCTTCTATTACATTTGTAAGAGTCGATTGTACGTAGTCATTATTTCAATCATTTAGATCGATTTCATGATATCGTATCCCAACTGACCACCATGTCAAACCCGTGGACGCAGTACTATTCTGACAACTTTCGAGTGGTACCTTCTCAGTCTGCTTCTGGATCAAGCTATATATCATCACCGATCTCATCTACGCCAGTTTCATCCGCCTCTGCGGCGCCGATCTTTCAGCAGACAACGATCACATCCAACATTTCACTGCAGCATCTATATGCAGATGTCAAGGCAATCCTCCAGTCCGCGGAGGCCTCTCTCGAGGAGCAGAAAAAAATCTCAAAGGACTTGAATGAACTGGGCACAACCGTCAATGCTTTGGAAGGTGTACTTTGTGGTAATCGCGGCAAGAGGAAGAAGAAAAAGGAGGGGGGGGATGTGGATTTAGATATTTTACAATCGGAGGGGGGTATAGTTCGTCGGTTAGCAACGATGAATAGTGCGATCAACGACTTACTTGCACATGTCTCTAGATTGGACACAGCTTCCTGTAAGCCTTGTTTTGACTTTGCATTCTGATTCACTTGAATCTCCCCTTTGCTGAATAGGTCACTCTGTAGTGTGCTGCAACGCAAGCACTGCCGCACGTACGCCATTTCCTCCACTTCAAAAAAGTGCGTCTTTTATTATCGGTTGATCATGAAGGCTGATGCACCAGGCTTCAGAATACTTGGACACATCGACGAGTACAGATGAACCTCTTCCTGCCAGCGCACCACCACCATGTCTATTGGAATTTCGGCCTTGGTTTCCTCCCCTGCAGCGCTCTCCTGAGACACTCGCCCCTGCTAGCTGGAACATGAATCGTATGTATCTCGTTTTCTAATTATCATCTCATACTGAGATTATAAATACCACCTTGTCTCAACACCTCATGCATTTCGACTACTTTGACTGGCGTTCATTCACATATTACCGGGGTGCACACCACTTCATCACCGTCGACTTCTCCACGAATTATCATTTCGCCTGATGATCTCCTGTACACATACCCGCAGCCAAAAACTCGTGTCGTACTCCGGGTAAGTTTTTCTTCCTAATTACTTCAAAAGATCTTTCTCTTCCTTACCCGCCCTGACAAGTATCCATGGACAGACATAGAATTTTCCATGTCTCATCTTTTTGTTCATTTACCCGCATATATCTGGTCCATACAATCATCTGATCTAGCGAACTAACTAAACCACCCAACAGTATTCGCTCGCTCGCAAGCGTATATCCACAGTCTTCAGCGCGATTCCAGCTCACCCGGGAGCACAGAGTCTAGAGCTTCTCCGGGCCCTACGATGTCCCCTGGTGTTTTTAACCATATCTCATCTCCTGCAATAGCCGACGTTTCCTCTCGTTCAGCGGCTCCTACTACCTTGCACGCCAGGGTCTCCATAAATGGGCCTGATATCTCGTCACCACTGCCAACCCCATCTCCTGAAATCCCGCTCGAGGAAAGTTTCAGCTGGGCGAACGACCCGAACTCCAGGTCTCGGACGGGCCCACAACCAGGACGGGATGGTCCTGATCAAAACGTGGCCACGACGTCACTCCGCGCCTTCCCAAACTCATTATTAAACCCCATTGCGCCCCCGTCTACCAATCCAATTCACAAACCTGCACGCACCTCCATTCTACCTGCATCTCGTTCACTCGACTCCAGATCTAACCCTACTCCATCACATTTCACGTCTACGTTAACCTCACCTTCTTCATCAAATTCAGGCTCGTCTAACTGTAACGCTTCATCCCCTGCCTCTAGAATCGCTCCCATCGCTCCCACTCCACCTTCATCATCACCTTCATCTTCTGCTCGCACTGTGAACATGCACCTTGCTAGCCCACCCCCAACCCCGACCTCTACGCTCGCACAAGCGCACGCGACTGCGTCGTGCCACATCCTTCCGCGGGTTTACAAGAACATCGGGGGAGATACAGATTGTGAGGGACCGTGTGTGGACTGTGAAATGCGACACTATGAACATTATGAGCGTCGCAACCAGAGTATGGACTCCCAAGAGCAGAGCACTGAGGAAACCCGGGATCAAAGTACGGCTGCTGGTTCATTGCGTACATGCTTGAATTCGTCTTCAGGCGAGATTGGTACCCCGTCGCCGGAGGCGCAACCCGAAGTACTGGGAGCCCCGCTGTCTACGCTTGAGACGCAAAATCAAAGTACAATCGCTGATCCATCGCGCATGTGCTTTGATACGTCTTCCAGCGAGTCACCATCACTTGGTGCGAATGCAGAGGCATCTCCTCATCTTGACGCACAACTTGAAGGGCCAGGAGTAGAGAAAGAAGTCCCGGTCTCTGTTTTTGAGGTGCAGGACCAAAGCACAACCGTTGACTCACCGCGCATGTGCTTGGATCGACCCTGCGGCGAATCAGATCAGCCGTCGCGGTCGTTTGAAGCTAATGCAGAAGCATCTCCGCACATGCTTGAGGCGCAACCTGAAGGATCGGGAATAGAGCCAGAAATCCCACTGCCTGCGTCGGAGGCACATCCTAAAGAGTTTAGAGGAGAGCTAAAAGCTACTGAGTCAGCTCCCAGAGCAACCTCAAAAAGTCCATCACACGCAATCGACTTGGATGCGCTGCAGAGACTTATACATGGGCACGTACTTCCGCTGTGGCATGGTTTGGGTGCAGCTGGGATGTACCAGGATGGAGAGCCTCGTGGCTCAGGACACATGTGGACGGATGAGTATGGGGAAGTAAACGAGGACTTCGGTGGTTCAAGTCTAGAGGAGGGTTTGCGGCCTGGCCACACACCTGATACTGGGGGATCAGGCGATTCGGGACTTGATAGCCCAAATGAACCTGGGTATGACTCTGGAGAATGTGAGAGAGAGCAGAGCTTGCAGATAGAGTATGAGGGTGGGGGGATCGATGGGACGCTCAAAGAATCCTTCAAGTCAGCAGGAGAGCGCTCTGATGTTTCGTTCACGCCAAACGACACACCCAAGCCAGCAGATACGCGAGACCCTTGCTCACAAGATCACCGTCCAGAACAACTTGCAGACTCAGAAGGCATCGTGCAGCCTGAACCTGTTCTCTCTGAGCTACGGAAACCGACTCCCTCGAATCTGACATGCCTCAATGCTGATTACCTGGACCAGTATGAAGATCTCCACGCTGAAGACTGCCGCGAAGAAACACCTGCCGATTCTCTCTTTCGAGATGAAGAAGCTGTCGCCGCAGCGCTCACAGCCCTGTCTCCTTCAGCAGAGAGCGGATCCCCGCCTTTTCCGTCCTCCCCAGAGGGTTTTTCTGTGTGTTTGCCTTTACAGTCAGAATCGGAGGCGTCGTGTCAAGGAGTCCAAGACCAAGGAGACGGGCCTCCTTTACAGGAACCAACGGAGATTCTTGATGGCGTGGACGATATTTTTACGACGTTTATCGATTTCATGAACGCCTGCACCGATGGAGCCACGTCTGCTCTAAGAAGTACGTATACTGAGGACCTGGAGCAAGAACCTTCAGAGATGCATGTGGAGCACGAACCTGCAGTGACCATTGATCATCCAGCAGATGTCGAATCCGAAACCAGTACATCTGCCGAGCCCTCAGCCCCACTTGAACACGCGCGTTCCGTCCATTCTCCCCCCACCTTCGCTACCCCACCCCCTAGCACGTTGCCATCATCTCTCTTACACCTATTCAGGTCACTCTCCCCACTGTCCTCGCTGGGGGAGTCCTCGTTAGGGGAGTCTCCGCCGATACTGCAAGAGGAAATCGATGCTGGGCACGAGGAGGGGCAAGATGAAATTGGGGTGGAGTTACGCAGAACAGAGAACCTCGATTCAGACGAAGACCTCGGTGTGCACCAGTGCAGAGCACGCTCGGGGTCCTCAGTATCAGTACTGCGGCGGAAGATGTTGTTGAGATCGCTGCAGTCTGGTGAGTTAAGAGGCGGGCCAGGCGCATCCATCGAAGAGCTCTCTATGCTCGCAAAGAAGGATCCACGCAAAATCATGATCTCAGAGCTCAAGCGTAAGCTCGAGCCATTGGAGTCAGCGAACCAGTCACGGCCGTCAAAAAAGAAAACTAGGTTCCATGAAGATATGGATGCCACATCATTCAGCACAGATAACGCGACTTCTTCCTTCACTTATCTAGCCCATCAGCTCCAATGTCAAGGTGCGGGGAATCCAATGCCCCAATCCTCTGATCCTTCCGAATCAACGGAGGACGTGATGTCACTCCAAGTCAAGAGCATTTCAGCACCGATAGAAGTAGACAGTGCCAGTGTCATTGGCACGACGACGAACAACGAGCCAGCGCAGACCTTCGTGACCACCTCGGAGATGACAAAGTCAAGGCTAGCTGTAAATGCCAGTGAGCCCTGGGAGGATTCAATTTCGCGCGGAAAGCGGGCGCGACCTCTAAGCTGGAAGGCGAGCCAAGCCAGCGCCCAGAAGAACGTTCAGCAGTCCGAGAGAAACGGAAAGCCCAAGTCGCGGCGACCGCAGAAGAGAAAGTCCAAGTCACTGGTTATTAAGGACGAAACTCAGATGTGTCAGTGGCCTGCAAAGAGCGAACAAGATGGGTCGTTTCAGCGTCAGTTCGTACAGTGTGATAAGTCAGTATCCTTTAGTCATTTCATCCTATGGACATCCCTGAGTTCGTGCAGCTGCGACTTGTGGTATCACTTTGGCTGCGCTGGTTTTTCTGAGGGAGATCCTCGCTTGGAGGAGCAAGATTCTGTCTTTATCTGTCCGCCATGCTGGTACGTGTTCAACAGATTCGTGCCTCCTGCCTTCAATGAATTAAATCCAATTTTTCAGTATCTCGAGTAGGTGTTCATGCCATCCAGCTGCCTGATATGATCAACTATGATTGATTTTCTAGGCGCAAAACGCCAGACCCCGCGCAGGCACGCTGAAAGATGTGCCCGTCCAGATTGTTCACTCACCCAACTCGATGCAGAGGAGTTTGTCATCGAGCGCCTAGTCGGGCGGAAAACCATCGGAGAAGCTGGGTACCTGTTTTTGGTGAAATGGGAGGGGTGCGTTCTCTTCTTTATAACAACTTGCTGGCTTCGTGGCTTGATACTCGCGTCTGTAGGTACCCGATCACGCAAGCTAGCTGGATCCCTGAGGGGAGCATAAGCGGTGCCTTCAAAGTCTTTGATCGGTTTATGGCAGATGCGACGGCTGAAGGTATCGATCTCAATCCGAAAGGCGCTGTTCTGCTGGAGGAGGCGAGACATGGCGGGTGGGATATCTAGACTGAATTGCGGTGCTTCATCTTTCTGTGTGCATTTGACGACGAACTCGCGCATTCTCCCATTGGCAGGGCAATCGATGTACATCCTGTTAATCGGGCTTCCCGTATTTGATTCTTAGGTGCTGTATCAACCAATTATTGTTTTACTGCAAACCAGTTGCTTTATCATGCTCACCTACATAAGCTGAACATTGGACAATGCCGTTATACGGCATGTAGCCTCCCGTAGTACGCAGACGGCCGACCGGATAGAATAGAGATTGTTATTCCGTCCATATTATGGGTAGCATGGGTGTCTGGCTTGAGAATTGAAAAAGTCCATGATGCGTCCCGTTTCGCGTACTAGTTCGGCATACCCGGCGGATTTTGAATTTGTCTTGTCTTCAGTCATTGCATTCGCCGTGCTTACCAGTCAGATTAAAACTGTCAAGCTCCTTGAATTCTTCTTCCACATCACTCAAGCAGAGTCAGACTGAAAAATCAATTCGAAAATAATCGCACCTTCAAGGCAAAAGAGGAAGTCGAGAGCTCAAGTTGGTGATTCAGTGGATCAAATATTCAGTACTCAGTTACGGTGGATCTTCACCCTCGTTGAAAGAATGCTAATCATTATTACTCGTACCACTGAGTTCTGTTACTACTAGGCTAGCCATATCATTAATTCCTCTGTCTTTGCTGGTCGATCGTCCGCTTCACCAGCTAGCAGCCGCCACTGCTAGAGGACATCCAGGAATTGGGCAGTCTATATGGACTCGACGCAGAGCCCACCGCGGCGTGAAAGTCTGCGTGCAGGTCTATGTTAGCGTCTTCCAAGAGTTTTAGGCCAGCGCGCATCAGCCGCGCATTGGATGGCCAGGCCGGCCATGTGCATGTCTGGCTTGATGTTAACGCGCTCACTCTAGCCCTCGTTGCCTTTTACTAGTATAATGATAGTATGGATGGGTCCGGTTCAGTTCCGTTCTCTAGTAAATTCTGACTTGGAGAACCAAGAACGCCGGACCATAGGTTCGGTTCTACGAACAAGCAGACCCATGGACGCATCATGATGATGTTGCAACTTTACGCGGAACGCGGCTCGGAATACCAAGTGCTTTAAGCCGGCAAACGCAGAAATGGGGAGGACGCTGAGTGGGTGCTGGGCATGGAAAAGCACCACCACCCTATGGGTAAGTGCACATCTGTCTCGAGTAAATGGTCACGGCGCTCGCACGCGACTCGCACTGAACGTATTTGAAACATAAATCGGAATGTCAGCTTAACTTAAAGTGGCCGTTTCATATAGCTAAAGTTTCTGTCGAGGGAGGTCAGCAACTCGGGACATTGACATAAGTTTCGCAAACTATACTTTCTTCTGCATTCGGTCTGACTATATTTAGAGACTGGTCCTGCAGTCACGAGCACTCGTCGTCAACGCTCTCAAGTACATGCCATTCGTGATGAGTAGCAACTGCCTAAGTGGCTTGCTGTGTACCACTGCTTATCTCTGTCCGCTCAGACTCCCGCTGTGCTTGTGGTCTAATATAGATGACACCGTAGTGACCATTGAGGAGTAAGTTGCAGCTTCCTGGTCTTGGTCACCCATTTAACAGCCAGACAGGGTGAATATAAATGGTGAACCTTCGGCGGGGTTGCCATTAGGGATGTAAGTGTTTCTGCCCCGGTGCTTCTGTGTCGCTCTTCACCAGAACTGCAGCTCGTACACAGGGCTTCTCCGACCATTAGAACCCAAATTACTTCCAATGCTGCACCGGACTGCGATTTACCTCCGTAAGTTCCTATCAATGATGATGTTGAATAAACTCCTAAATCGTCTCAGCGAGGCGGAAAAGGTCGTGGCGGAGAAGGATTGACCAACTCTAAGCGAATTGTGAGCGAAAAATAAGCCGAGCGATCACAACTGACTACATCCTATGCGCAGAGCAAATGTCATAAAGTAAGTTTTAGATGTTCTCGAGGATTCGACCATTGTGTCAAAGATTGGAAAGGACAGACGGTCTCGTTTCTGGGTTGTGTACAAACGAGTCGCAGAGGAACACGACGGCGAGTTCTTCGAGCGATACACCAACGACATGGACATTGTCTTGTTCTTCGTAGGTTTAGTGTGCTTGTCTGAGATCAGTTTTGAGACTGATATTCAATCAGTCTGGTCTTTTCTCAGCTGTCAGCACGTCTTTCATTGTCGCAATGGAGTCCAATCTCAGGCCCGACCCCAGCGACACAACGAATGCCCTTTTGAAGCAACTCGTGCAGATGGGGCTCGACAACCTCGCTGAAGTGGGCTCCATGCCCGCAGACCCAGCATCTACGTGGTCGTCGGCTGCGAGGATCCAGATGGCCGCATATGCAAGCTTGTCCATGAGTTTGCTAGCAGCATTCGGGGTTGTACTAGGCAAGCAGTGGCTCGGGTACTACAAGTCGAACAGGTATGGTCGCGGCTCACAGGAGGAACGAGGGAAGCGAAGGTAAGAGAATTTCCACGGCCGCATCACATGGTATTTTGAAGCTGTCGTGCAGTCCTTTCCCGTCCCGCTTCAGATCTCCCTTCTTCTCTTTGGGATCGTTCTCGGCGCCAATATATGGTACGAGCAGTCGAGCATCGCCTGGGTCATCATCGCAACAACAGTCTTCAGATTTCTGTTCTACTCACTGACGGTGGTGTCCAAACGAGTCTCCTGTTGTTTCCAGCAGCTCACAACGTCACTGCACAGTGGGTCATACATTCTTCCATGTGCACTGGTTTTGACTATTTCATGCCAGGCGTGCTGCAACGATTGCTTGGTATCATCAGATCGAGATGGAGCCGTTTGTCTGAACTATTTAGAGGTGGCGTTCTTATCTACTTTTGCAGAGATACTCTGTGCTCATTTCAGTTCCCAGGACCTGTACATACGGTTGGCACATTCGCACGACAATATCTCCGGCAGTTATTCACTACGTTTCATAATTGGCTGCGTTGTGTTGTTCCGCGCTTTTCGACAAAGCCCATGAACCCAGAAACACAATTGCCTTACCTGAATTTGGATATTTCGTCGGAGGATGAATGCGCCCTCACCCTCCCTGTCATACCCCGGGCCACCAGCGATCTCGATGCACCTAGCATCAAGTGGCTGCTTGAGACATCTACGGACCCTGAAGTATTTCTCGCCGCTGCCAGCCTTGTTCCGCAGGTCGAATGACCCTTGGATCTTGACATCTCAGACACGCTACCTCAGCTGTGTTGGCTTCGATAGGCAAACTATACCATCATTGGAGAAGGCCTCAGCTTGCATAATTGCTCCGAGTCATCTATACCAGTGTGGCCGCGTTCTTCAGGTATATCCTGGTCGTGGTGAATTTCTTGGCCGCAGGAGAAGAGACTACGACGTGTTTCATAAGATGCAGGAAGATTTATTCGCGAGTGAAGTCATCCGAACAACATCATCCCCGGGAATTGTTGAATGCAGATGTACTGCGCTTCACGCTCACTGTTGCCCGTGTATCTCGGCACCCTAACCACTTGGGGAGTAACCAGTTTTCCTGGAATCTGGACAGCCAATTCCCATTCGCCAGAAGACTTCGACTGGCGGTGGACTAAACTACAATTATTCTGACGATAAGGAAGCGGCATATGTCATCCTTTTGCCACTGAGTCTCATGGAAGTATGTTGTAGCCCTGCTAAACAACATCTGTTTGTCGAGAGCCTCATCGCCTGCATGGGCGGCAATGACATGCCTTTCCACTTACGGCATGCCGCTCTTTGACATGCCCAGTGCCCGAGAAGAAATGGATTCGATCAATGCCATTGATGATGCGAAGCTGCGGAAATTGGTTTTGACCAAGTTTTCCCCCGCTACCCCGACTGCGGTTTCTCCGCAACACTCGCCAGTGATGATCTTGTCATCAACGACATATACTGTTTCGAGTTCCTTCCCATCCCTGTTAAAGGCACGAAGAGGCATATGCAGATTGCTCCAGAAGATGATCTCGAGTACAAGTGTGGATTATGTTCTCGAATCACTGGAGAGGCGAGATTCAGAGCTCGGGGGAGAGGTTGTCGCCGTCATTGTTAAGCAGTTGGGGAATGTAGCCAGCGACCGTGATGCTGCTTGAGAAGTCAGTTAACGGTACAAGGGGATAAGGACCCATTAACAATATTTACTAACACGCCAGCATGTTGGTCACCACGTCATTGCGTTCTGTCGACTTTTCCCGTTCATCGCGTCATGCTGTGTTGTTGCGTCTCCCCTTTGCTCACTACTATGGCGACCTCCGCAACGTTGTTGGGGAAGGAGATATCAGATTGCATCTGATGCTATGACGGACTCATATAAGCACGAGATACCACCCGTGATGTTGTCTACCACGTCATGCTGTATTCATGGTCTACGGCGTTGATGGAGAAAAGTCAACTCTGTACTATATCCATCCAAGCTTGTCTATGATTTTCATGTCATCTAAAACTAAGCTTGATCTATATCAACGAGGAGAGCTTCTCAGGTTTGACGAGGGAGAGGATGTGACCCATGTGGGGCACTGGCTTGTTTTTAGCTCATCTGATCGACGTATATATGCTCACCGATATTAGCCTCAAGACGCCTTGGATCCAGTCCCACACCCATTTTTCCAGATCTTCGCGGTGCAGTTCGCGGTTTAGACTTAGCTTGTCAAGTTTAGATTCCGGAGGCGCTCTACTGCAATATCGTGGACTGATTCTTCGAGAAGTGTTCATCGGTATTTTGGGAGGACGCGTCGCGTGATAGTGGTTGTGGAGATTGTCGATGTTGATGTCGAACTTTGAGCCTGTGCTAGTATCGCGTTCCCGCCGTCATCCAGGATCTCTTCAGAGGGCGCCTGAGGAGATGTAACACATACAATGAGTCGCGTGAAATGCTTGACCTCTGCAACGCGTCTAGTTTATGGCCCAAGTTCAACTAATACACAAGAAATGCAACTTTGGAGAAGATTTCTAAGATGTCGGAGGCTTCTTCGGATGACTCGAATAACATGTTATCGACAGCGGGTGCAACGTGTGTATGAGGTTGCGAAGTTTGGCATGTTGGAGAGAACCGAGGTGCCTGCATCTCAGACTCGGATTAAATCTAGAAACGGTGGTCAGAGTAATAAAGTAGGTAGATAAATGAAGCGTACCACACGCTAGCAGCATGATAGCATATATGGACGCTATTGGGTGGACTTTTTCTATACCCATCTCCATATGGTGTCAGAGCCAGCGGGCCTCCTCCGTGCACACTGCACAAAGCTCGACGCTCTGACTCTTGACAAATGCCATGTGAATATAGGTGTTCAAGGAGTTGTATATGCGAGATTCGAGTAGGACTTGAAGCCCTTCTTTGCCTCATGTGAAACGCAATTGGTAAAGTAGAAGCTATGCAGACCTGAGCGCTGAAAGAGCGAGGGACCTGTAGGGCACGGTCAGGCCATCTGGAAGAGGAGTGTGTACGGGGGGGTTCTGCGCTATGTAAAAGGCCGTGCGTAGCGATGTCATCGGAGAAAATATTGGCAAGCTCAGGAAGGTGAGTCCTAGTCAGGAAGCGAGGAGCGGTCTGAATCCAATGCATCATATATATCAATCGGTGATAGAATTTCAGAATTGTTTGGATCAATATTACACAAACAACTTCTGGAAGTCTGTCTGCCCGCCGTCTTGCATCATCAGCTGAATCTCATCCTATTCTGCCGTCGTGCCCGCCTCTCCCCAGCCAGCGAGTATGTCATCAACGATAGCCAGCACACAAGGCGTGGGTTTATTCTCACCATCTAATGGTACTCCGAGTCCACCACCAGCAACTGAGTTGTGCCCATTGGCGCTTTCTTTGACGCCTTACGAACACACCACGGGCTCCCCATCAATTTCCCCTCGTTAAGTTATTGTCGTAAAATGATGCATTATTCATCCAGCTCTGAATGCAATTTCTACTAGAAGCTACAAGGATGATTTATGAACAAACCGAACAATAGAATGATAAATACCGTGATAAACAAATCAAATGATAAAAATAATGAGGAATGAATGATGGTAGCGAAGGCTCACTGTGACTTCTTGGACTTCTTGATTTGTATGCTTCGTGCGGACAAAAAGTTATTCCAGAGCCCCGGAGGCGAAGAAAGAGCTGGCGGGTAACGAGAGACACCAGGCAAAGAAAGAGATGGGTTACCGCCCTTGAGGTTTTAGTGGGTATCGAACCACCCAGGCCCTCTACGAACGAGGCAACCAGGTAGTAAATGAGTCCCACACGCCCCATGAAAATGGGTGTGCATAAGTGCATTTTTTCCTCGGACCGGAGTTCGTAGAACTCCGCTATAGTGCGTACTTGTAGAACTAGACTTCGTCAGTTGCCACAATTACATATCACTTGTCTAAAAAAAAAAAAAGAAAGAGATGGATAATATTTGCAAGATGGCGGGCTGACGTGCACTGGCCGGAAAATTCCGAAAGACGTCCTACAGCTGGCAGACTCACTGTACAAACTGCCCAATCCCCAGATTTCCTGCCACTGTATCGAGGACGAGTATGGAATGGCTAGTCTGTGTCTGCGACCAAGTCTGGGTGCACGCTTGGCACAGATGGTGGAGTTTGAAGTTGCTAGTGGCTGACAGCGCCTGACATCCCGCCACACCACCGTTGCTGCTCACCGCTGTCACACGCTGAGCACAGACCATGGACGTCGAGTCCATATTTGCTGTTATGCAGCAGTCGCCATGCCCTTTCTCGACCTCAACCTCTTCCTCCGCTGTACAAGCTAGCTCAAAGACGACATCTAGACCACAGCCTCATATCTGTCGTGGTTGCCCCTGCCCCCCCACCATAAATGCATTTCTAACTAAACAGGCCGCCCTCTCATACTGTAGATGCATTATGGTAGATCACCGTGGACCTCACCTGGGCCTTACACTCGCGCAGGTCATCGCAGATGAAGGGTGTAGAGACGGGTAGCTTGCACCTAGACCGGCCGTACCTTGCACATTCACACTGTGCAGGAACCACCCATTGAATTACGGGATGTTAATGTCCCGACTCTGGGTCCTCCAGCCGCTATACGTCCGTGCAAGCTCTACATAATCGGAAGAAAATAGCAACATAATGTTTTTCCAATATTTACTTGCGGAAATACTGATCCAGGCGTGCACATGGATTCCGGTTGGCAAGGCTTTCTCGACTCCGGGTATTACACACAACACCGCTGTCGACTTCATATCGCTTCCCGTTTCACAAGGTTTTGTCCCCAGGCAGGTCTTAGCGGGGCTTCTACCCGGCTTTGTATTTGAAGGCTTTGTAAGGTGTCCCTGGAGCGTGGGTCGGGTGGTGGAGGTGGATATAATATACGCGACCGGTCTTTGCAAATGTATAACAATTCATTTCGGCATGATGAGGTGGGTGCGAGTTCCAGCGGATTGTTGGGGGCCTAACAGTGGATTGCTGTATTTTAGCAGTCGTGTTGCAGGGAGATATCATACCATTTTATCAGTGTTTCAGTTGTAGTTCAAGATTAGCTAACTAGCCCATCTGCAGAAATGTTCTTGCAACATACCAGCTGTCAGAATTCGTCAGCGCCCGTCATTTCTTTCAACCACATACCGGCGAATCGCGATGGATGATCGATCATCACGGGTCCCCGAAAAATTTGGTTGACGACTAGTGATGAAGTCCAAGGATGTCGGTGCGAATTCTCGAAGCCCGTGCGCTCCTACTGTATTGCCATATATGCAGATTTATGAACTTCATCGTGCGACTCGCGAATCACGGTGATGGTGATGAAAGTAACGTATGACACCAAGGCTATAAAATTTATTGTCCAACTAATGTTCTACTAACTCTTCATCCTTCCCCATCCTGGCTTCCTGTGACACTGTCCAGTGATGACGTCTTCTAGACGCTGGTTCCTGGCGGCTCTCGCGGTATCTGCTGTCAAGGCCGAGTCAGTTCAGAAACCAGGCTTGCAACTTCCGCCTAGTGCTTCCTTCCACCAGGCAGAAGTCAAGGAGATTTTTGTCACAAGCTACCAGGCTTACCAGTACGATACCATAGTCTTTCTTTCTATTTGCACTCACCATACCGCATGCAGGACGTATGCCTGGGGGCATGATGATCTGTTGCCCGTTTCAGAATCGTACTTTGATGGACGGAACGGATGGGGCGCTTCCATTGCTGACGCTATGGGCACCATGGTGAGTAACCAGCCACGTCGAGAGGTCAAGTGGCTGAAAGCTGTCGTCACGTGTACACGTGATGTAGTGGATTATGGGGCTCACGGTATGTTTCCACATGCGAGACGTGAACTAACATCGGCTCATTTCAAAATGTCCCCAGGACTGGTTTGAACAAGCTGTCAATCACACTGCTAACACCGACTTTGCCATTTCGCACACTTCTGATACCGTCAGGTAACTTGCTGCCATATCTTCGCTTTCAAGCTATCTTGCTGATTAGGGACAGTCTGTTTGAAACTACTATTCGCTATGTTGGAGGTTTCCTAAGTGCGTATGAGCTCAGTGGGGAAAAGTATCCAATTCTGGTTGAAAAGGCCCAGGATCTCGCCGATCAAATGGCCTATGCCTGGGTTGGGGTAATCATCATACTTGGTATTTGTATGTGCGCAATGGATCTGACTCTTTTATAGGATCAGTCCATTCCGTATGGTTACATAGACTTTTCGAGCCAGCAGCCCACCCTCGACACTGTGAGCGGTTTATCGACATCCAAGTTTCGATGATACTCATCTTCAATTGCAGTCAAACATTGCCGAGGCTGGAACCGTGAGTGTACATTATGCATACTGCAGAACAAATTGTGACATTTCTCCTGCGTAGCTTACCATGGAGTGGAATCGCCTCAGGTGTGTGGGTCATTTTGCTTGTCTAGCTCTTTAAATGAACTGGACGTTAAGTCAATATACTGGCAATTCCACGTACCAAACTCTGGCTGAGAAATCTGTGCAACATATGATTCACATGGTAAGCAGGGTTTCAACTTTGACGTTGGTTCTTACCTGATGCGTTGCTCTTCAGTCGACCCCTCTCCCTGGTATGCCTGCTCAAGGCATTAACCCAAAAACTGGTGGTTCGGTTGGTGGGTATGTGGTAAGTGCTGGTGTTTGTGATATATGCACCTCCTAATCCACCTTTGTAGACATGGGGTGGAGGTTCTGACTCTTACTTCGAGTATCTCATCAAATATGCCCGCCTTACAAATACCGACGACAATTCGTATGCCGATGCATGGTTGACCGCCGCTGATACCTCCGTGAAGAAGCTCTTAAGAGTATGCAGACCTCTTTATCTCGGTGACATCACATCTTTATGCTTCGCGTTAGTTTTCAACTGTCGATAACTGGTTGTACCTCGCTGATTACGACGACGACAAAAAAATTCGTCACGTGGGGTCCCATCTTGCTTGCTTCTACGGAGGAAACTGGATTCTAGGTATCTTCTCCTCTTCTCCCTGCGGCTTGAGCTTGATGTAAAACCAAGGCGGCAAGCTCACCAACAATGCAACGCTAGTTCAGATTGGTCTTCAACTCACCGATGCCTGCTGGAACACATACGCGAGCACTGCGTACGTCCCCCACCGACATCTATCACTGTGCTAATCCCTTGTTTCTAGGACTGGGATTGGCCCTGAAGATTTCGCGTATATATCCAGCGACGGCAACTACACTGGTGGCACTCCTCCTAATCAGGAGCAACTCGATTTCTATCATGAGCATGGCTTCTATATCACCGCCCCCGACTACTTCCTTCGTCCCGAAGTCCTTGAGTCGAACTTCTATGCTTGGCGTGCAACTGGTGATCCCAAGTATTTCAACAATGCAATTAGTGCCACAGTTAACTTCAAGAAGTACCTCACCACAACTGTTGCGTACGCTGGTATCTACGACGTTGACAACGTGGATTCCGACAAAATCGATGACATGGAAAGTTTCTGGTTCGCCGAGCCCCTCAAGTACCTGTGAGTATTGCTGCATGTGAAAATGTCGGACTCTTCATAAAAATGCACAGGTATTTGACCTTTGACGACCCCAATCACATCTCACTTGATGAATGTAAGCCTTTGCTACATAACCCATTAGTCTAAGCGACTAATACCTTTCGCTAGATGTCTTCAACACTGAGTGCCACCCTTTCAAGGCGCCGCCTGCCAAAACCAATTATGGTTCAGATGGTGGGCCTCGACCTGTGCCATCGCAACCATTCTCCCCGGAGAGCGCACCCCTGCCAGCTGTTTCCCCGATTCCTGCGCTCCTACACTCATCATGAACTTTAATTTGTGAGCGCTATCAATAATTACGCGGCAGTTGTTTAGGGTCGAACTCTTCAACTATTTGGCTCTAACGCTACATTTCGCTGAACCTTTTTACCTTGCGTGAGTAGTCTATTGTTTATTGATATTGTATTGTCTTTTGGAGTTCAGCTCTAACGTCAAGATATATCACTGTCATTTTGATTTGCACCAATAGCCTTTCGTTTATCGATTATCCTTTCTTTTGAAGTTCGGCTCTTACTCAAGATATCTCACTGTCATTTTGATTTGCATCAATAGTCTTTTGTTTATCGACGATATACCGATGTACATATAGACATAGCGCGATAAAATAAATACGAGAATACTGATTCATTCCCTCATGGCCATTGAGTAGCTGTAGGACTCAAGTCTCAGTACGGAGTTGATGGTGCAGCGGTGATGGTAGAAGCACGCGTCAATCGTACGCATAAGAAGAATTCCAAGATAAAGGAGGTATAGATTGTTAAGAATCCATCCGTGAAATATCACCTAACAACAGAACCAGAATCCCCCTTATGATAGTGCAAACGTCAAGAACGATGACAGTGGTTTCGATACAATAGGTCACTCTGGGTATCTTGGGGGGCACGTTTGCACCGAACTCATCGGTCGATGGCGGTTCTGGGAGTCGAGCCAGCCGTCGATAAGCGGGGAGGGAAATTTTGTTAACATGCTATTTGACACTAGCGCAGATGCCATTGATCTGGGCCATGGAAAGCTTGTCCAGGTTGTACAGCGTTGAACAAATGAACCAAGTGCGGTTGTGACGCGACGCGGGCACTGTCACAAATCGAACCAAGGTAGCGACAGAGATCAGTCGATCATGTTCAAACACTGATCAACATATCATATGAATACATCTGCGTACAGATCCCAGGTGGAGTGCTGCATTCACCTCTCACCAATTTTACAGGGCTTGGCCTGCGAGAGTTGGACTCGTGGCTCCAGTGATTTTGACACCGCATCATCACTGCAGCAGCCATGTCAACCAGCCAGCCGGGCCTACTGGCAGCAACCTTCAGATAACATGGAGTCCGACTCGCCCTACGAATATTTCGGCCTATCGCATGAGCGTCACAGTAGTATGTGCTGCCCAAAGGTGTTTCTCAGTCTTCCCACAGTACCAGTCATGACCACGGTGTGCCGCGACAGACAACAATGCATACTCGCACAAAAGACGTGAAAAACAGCGGGCTGCAGCCCAATCTGCGTGACAGTTGAATGCCACGTTCGTCAACAAGCACCTAGACTAAAATACTAATTCGCAAGACAGCTAAACGAAATCCTTCAACCACAGGTTCATCCTTCCAAGATATCCCACAGCTGTGCATCGATGAGAGTCCCTTCCTGGTTCTTGAGGATGACCTGCAACGATCGTCAGGAACAGCGTGGTACCACGGTCAATGGGTCACGTCACCGATTTATCAGCTTCGAGTTGCAAAGTACGGAAAGCTGCAGGGCTCTGCGCAGTATGGGGGACTTGGAATCTGCGCCTCATCGTCAGTAGACAGGTCTGGTTTGATTCACGGCCTGCTCGCACCCGACATGACCGCCTTGGAAGACTACTTGCCACCAGTGCTCCTTGGGGCTCATGACGGCCTTCGTGTCCGTCTGCAAATTTGCGCAAAAAGGTGAGATTCGCATTGGAACCGCTTCTCGCAGACGCTTACGTTCCATGCCAAGTAATCGCCACTGCCATCGTTCTTGACCGTCCCCAGATACCCTTGCGTCTTTGGGTCCCATTTGTACTTCCCGATCCACTATTGACATCACTCGTCAGCGCCAGGTCAGAACATCGTCTCTAGCTGTCTACTGACCCTCTGAGTCGCGGTACCGCCATATTTCTCGCCGACGAGCCCGCCATCCTTCGGCGTCAGCACGAGCTCAGGCCACTTCACGTTTTGAACGATGCCGTGGACAGACATGATGATTGAGATTTGTTGTTGGGGAGAGAAGGATAATACGAGAAGTGAGTTGGTATTGGAACCTGCGATCGCGCCATCATTTATATGCTCATTCCTCAGGGTACGGGCTCGGCGACGGCATTCTGCTGTCCCGGGCACCACTGCACGCGCTCCTGAATCGTGTAAGCAACTCAATGACGGCGCCAAACCATAATACAATTGCAACTCGCCGCCTCGTGATCAGCCATCGCGACCGCTGCTCTGGAATTTTCGTTGCAAAAGGAGCTATCCATCGTTCCTCGTTTCCGATGAATTTACCTCATCCTGGCACTTTCACTTTCACTGACAAAGGAGTCGAGCACGAGTCTTCGATTAAGGGCATGGTCCAATTGATTTCTCGGCGGCGACTACATACCACACCCTGGCACTTTTGTGCTCGCTTACCAGGAATGTTCTTCGACGGCGTTACGACGAGCGTTCTCCTATATCAGTCGCCTTTCAGCCTACTAGTAGCGACTTCAATGATGGCGAATCGCAAATGACTTTACGAACATTCCTCGATTTCGCTCGCAAGGAATGTTTGTCGATTGTGGGGCAGGGTCGTTGCATGATTTCCGACTCTATAGCGCTTCCATTGCAAATGGAGTTTGCAAAACGTTCGTCCAAATCTCGCTTGCAGGGAATGTTTGCCAATCGCAATTGCGGCATGTCGTCGGGACTTTTTCAAGAGATCGATTGATTTCTCGTATCAACATCATGATTGAGCACAGCACTAGCATCAGCCTTTCGGTTCGAGAGGTGTCCTTGGTTGCACGACTAATTTCATTTTGCATGTTCCGATAGCTGCCTTGAACCCAGCGCGGCTCGCGCACCCGTTTGTCTGATAATTCAGCTCCAACGAGCTCTTTTGCCGCTTGTCGACTCTGGCAATATACTCGAGCCGAGGGCAAGGAGCGAATCTATCAGCGGTGGGAGCAGCTATTATGGATGCAGTGGGTTCGAGCTCGCAACTTGCAGATCTAGATGGATGCCAAATAATCAATATGCAATGTCTTTCTGCAGTGTGGTGATATAACTTTCTCGTGTATCTATCAGGCCAGATTTAAATTAATGGGGGATCAAGCACCCAAGTAAGTTGAACGCTCCAACTCCTGCATGATGGTGACAGACTCCTTGTGGTTGGGAGAATGTTCGTTGAGGTAGAGGGCCCAATTTGCTTGGTAGAAGAGACCGACTCTGGAAGTGAGGAATTCCAGGAAAGTCGATGATCATGTGTCTGTGAGTGCACCAGACTTTGATGAAGGCAGGACATCCGACAAATAGACTATCATAAGAGCTGCATTGCGATACCAGACAAACATGGAAATGACTGATCGTTCGACCTCAGTATTATTGTTCTGGTATCCCTCACACAACAACATGTGCTGACTTACCGAACCACTAAAATAAATCACTGCTGCATGGTCAAATCTTTGCTGAGAAGACTACTTGAGACAGGTCGTCTAGATGAACCTCACATTCGTCTGGCTTTGGAATCAGATCTCCAACAACCAACTTCATGAACCAAAAGCTGCAATGTCTGCCGTCCTTCGAAGTTTGGATGTCAGTGAGAAAAGTTCCATTGATGGCACTAGCACCTAGACAGCAATAACGAAGTTGGGGCATCCCAGCTGAGTTACCCAATCGCAAACCTGCAGTCATAACATGATTTGTGTTTCTCAGCCTGGATGCTCAGCATTCCGCAGTCCCGAGCATCACATACTGTCCCTGAATCACGTTAAGTAATTACATGCTGACGGACCATACTGTTAATGCAACTCATGGTCTGATGATCAGCCATCATGACAAAAGTTGAACGTTGATACTCCACTCTGGCACCTCCATTGCAAAAGGAGTTATGATCATTCCTTGTGTTCGCTTGCCAGGAATGTTTGTCTATAGCACAAGATTTCTAGGCAGCGATCACCCCACCCTTGGTTCCGATCTGAGAAAGTTGCCCAAATGGAGTAGTTCAAGTTGTACTGCATCAAGCTTCTGATACACCGGTACATGTGGCAACATGTCGGTCGCAATACCACTCAAGTGAAAGGTTCATAATCCCTTGTGCAATGAAAGTGCCAGGGTGTAGTAGATTGATATGAGAACTCGTCCACTGATCTAAGTCTCAGGATGTCCTATTAAGTTTGCCATTGTCACTATGACCCTCTGTAGCCTGAAAATTGGATGGGAATACAAGGAGATTACATAAACTAGAATCAGCTTCAGTCGATGAACATGCAAGGCAAGTGAACATGAAAATACCCGGCGTAACAGTCACCGTCGAAACTCGTCAGTAAAAAACCTGGTCAGGAATGATTAATAATTCTTTCAGCAGTGCCAGAGTAGAGCACCAACTTATGGCTTTATCCGTGGATTGCGAGCTCGAACCCACTGCATCCATAATAGCTGCTCCCACCGCTGATAGATTCGCTCCTTGCCCTCGGCTCGAGTATATTGCCAGAGTCGACAAGCGGCAAAAGAGCTCGTTGGAGCTGAATTATCAGACAAACGGGTGCGCGAGCCGCGCTGGGTTCAAGGCAGCTATCGGAACATGCAAAATGAAATTAGTCGTGCAACCAAGGACACCTCTCGAACCGAAAGGCTGATGCTAGTGCTGTGCTCAATCATGATGTTGATACGAGAAATCAATAGATCTCTCGAAAAGTCCCGACGACATGCCGCAATTGCGATTGGCAAACATTCCCTGCAAGCGAGATTTGGACGAACGTTTTGCAAACTCCATTTGCAATGGAAGCGCTATAGAGTCGGAAATCATGCAACGACCCTGCCCCACAATCGACAAACATTCCTTGCGAGCGAAATCGAGGAATGTTCGTAAAGTCATTTGCGATTCGCCATCATTGAAGTCGCTACTAGTAGGCTGAAAGGCGACTGATATAGGAGAACGCTCGTCGTAACGCCGTCGAAGAACATTCCTGGTAAGCGAGCACAAAAGTGCCAGGGTGTGGTATGTGGTCGCCGCCGAGAAATCAATTGGACCATGCCCTTAATCGAAGACTCGTGCTCGACTCCTTTGTCAGTGAAAGTGAAAGTGCCAGGATGAGGTAAATTCATCGGAAACGAGGAACGATGGATAGCTCCTTTTGCAACGAAAATTCCAGAGCAGCGGTCGCGATGGCTGATCACGAGGCGGCGAGTTGCAATTGTATTACGGTTTGGCGCCGTCATTGAGTTGCTTACACGATTCAGGAGCGCGTGCAGTGGTGCCCGGGACAGCAGAATGCCGTCGCCGAGCCCGTACCCTGAGGAATGAGCATATAAATGATGGCGCGATCGCAGGTTCCAATACCAACTCACTTCTCGTATTATCCTTCTCTCCCCAACAACAAATCTCAATCATCATGTCTGTCCACGGCATCGTTCAAAACGTGAAGTGGCCTGAGCTCGTGCTGACGCCGAAGGATGGCGGGCTCGTCGGCGAGAAATATGGCGGTACCGCGACTCAGAGGGTCAGTAGACAGCTAGAGACGATGTTCCGACCTGGCGCTGACGAGTGATGTCAATAGTGGATCGGGAAGTACAAATGGGACCCAAAGACGCAAGGGTATCTGGGGACGGTCAAGAACGATGGCAGTGGCGATTACTTGGCATGGAACGTAAGCGTCTGCGAGAAGCGGTTCCAATGCGAATCTCACCTTTTTGCGCAAATTTGCAGACGGACACGAAGGCCGTCATGAGCCCCAAGGAGCACTGGTGGCAAGTAGTCTTCCAAGGCGGTCACGTCGGGTGCGAGCAGGCCGTGAATCAAACCAGACCTGTCTACTGACGATGAGGCGCAGATTCCAAGTCCCCCATACTGCGCAGAGCCCTGCAGCCTTCCGTACTTTGCAACTCGAAGCTGATAAATCGGTGACGTGACCCATTGACCGTGGTACCACGCTGTTCCTGACGATCGTTGCAGGTCATCCTCAAGAACCAGGAAGGGACTCTCATCGATGCGCAGCTGTGGGACATCTTGGAAGGATGAACCTGTGGTTGAAGGATTTCGTTTAGCCGTCTTGCGAATTAGTATTTTAGTCTAGGTGCTTGTTGACGAACGTGGCATTCAACTGTCACGCAGGTTGGGCTGCAGCCCGCTGTTTTTCACGTCTTTTGTGCGAGTATGCATTGTTGTCTGTCGCGGCACACCGTGGTCATGACTGGTACTGTGGGAAGACTGGGAGAGACCTAAGTTCTAGGTACTAATCTGTGCATGCTCGGAGAATGACAGAGTCCGTCTCGGCGGCGAGCAGGAATCATCGAGAGTACGAGCCATGTGCAGCTTCGTGTCCTCTTTGAACAGGTGGACAATGGCAGTTCCATGGGCTGCAGGAACTCACCCGTGTAAGATATCCCATGAAGTGAGCTGGTTCAGGTCACTGGCAAGAGTTGGAGCCCGTGCTTGCACCACAAAGAGCACATTGCCATAGTCACACTGCGGCGCATGCTTGACGTCCAACTCGATCGAGTAGGAGGCGCGATGCTTATTAGTCGACAAAGGCTCCTCCTTAGCCATCTCTTTGCGACCTAGGTGACCATGATCGACGTTTTAGTTCTGGAGGATGCTCAGAATGCCAACGAAGAACTGTTTATAAATCCATACATCATCCATTATAGACTCGAACATCGAGTCTCAAGTGACAGTTGACAGTGATGTACTATGCTTGATATCTATCAGAGAGAAGAGCCGAGGCGAGACGACGATCGACAACCACAACGACTATCAAAACAGACGATGTTAGCGAGAATGTAAGTACGACACTTTGAGCTATACCTAGTAGGGAATACCAAAAAGGAAACTCAAAACTCTGCTCATGACAATATCATAGGTAGAGGGCGGCCCTGTGCTACCTGAGAACATCATTCAAAAATCCTCCAGCTATGCCAGATAAAGACTGAACACTAAGCTGCGTCGAAAGCGGTCTTTCGGGCACTTGATCTATACATCAGCCATCTAGTATCCGCGACGCTAACACTGGTGG